GGACGTAGTTTGTACCTTCTCCTATGGCGGAGGTGAGCTTAACCATAAGATCTCGTTCTTGGTTAGTAACGACTTGCCATTTGACATGTTGCTAGGCATGTACTACCTCGATATTTCTAAGCCCCAGTTTGACTGGGATAAGAAGGTGCTCAAACAGAAGTTGCCCGATGGCCGAACTGTCAGAATGACTAAGTTCAAGGCCAGTAGTATTATAGATACCTATGGCTGCTTGTGCGCATCTGCGTTCTACAATTACTATAAGCAAGACCAAGAGGCCGTTAAAACACCCCCGGAGATAGAACGCGTCGTTGCTAAATTCCTTGATCTGTTCGAGGAGCCCACAGGAGTTCTTGATAGGGAAGTCGTCCACGCTATAGAAATCATTCCAGGGAGTAAGACACCAAAGGGAAGGATCTATAGGATGGCCCCTGCCGAGTTAGATGAACTTCGGAAGCAACTCAAGGAGCTGACAGAGAAGGGATGGATTCGGCCTAGTACTTCCCCTTACGGATCACCTGTGCTATTCGTACCAAAGAAGGGGGGTACTTTGAGGATGTGCATTGATTATAGGGGCCTCAATGCCATCACGGTGAAAAACGCAGAGCCTCTACCCCGCATAGACGACCTATTGGATAGAGTGCAGGGATGCAAGTACCATACAAAGATAGACTTGAAATCCGGATATCATCAGATCGCAATAAGACCTGAGGACCAACACAAGACAACTTTTCAGACTAGATATGGTCTATATGAGTTTGTAGTGATGCCTTTCGGTCTTTGCAATGAGTCGGGCACATTTCAGCTCGCTATGAATCGGATCTTCCATGACCATTTAGATAAGTTTGTCGAAGTCTATCTAGACGACATTTTGATCTTTAGTAAGTCTGCCGAGGAGCACGCACAACATGTTGAGACAATTCTCTCACTCCTACGACAACACAAGTATAAAATCAACCTAGAGAAGTGTGAATTCGGTCGCTGTAAGATTCTATACTTGGGTCATGAAGTATCCGCGGAGGGAATTAGGCCGGAAGATGCGAAAGTGGCTAGTATTCGAGACTGGCCACGACCTCAGACAGTTACTGAGGTCAGATCTTTCTTAGGAATGTGCGGCTACTATAGGAACTTCGTAAAGAACTATTCTCCAGTCGCCTCTCCTTTGACAGATCTAACTCGACTTGACACACCGTGGGACTAGAGTGATGAGTGCGAGGGTGCTTCCAAGAGATTGAAGCATGCACTCATGAATCACGAAGTTCTCATGGTTCCCGATCCGCAGAAGCCATTCATAGTGACCACTGACGCAAGCCAATACGGCATTGGCGCAGTGCTGCCTCTGCAGGATGGGAAAAAGTTGAGACCGATTGAGTATATGAGTAAGAAGATGCCATCGAAGAAATTGGCTAAGTCCACCTACGAAAGGGAACTCTACGCTCTCTACAAGGCACTTGTCCATTGGAGAAACTTCCTTTTGGGATTCTTCTATCTGAGGACTGATCATCAGACCCTCAAATAGATCAAGACTCAACCGACTCTTTCTGATGCACTCAAGCGATGGATTGAGGTCATAGACCAATATGACTTCAAGCTTGAGTACCTGAAAGGAGAGTACAACAAGGTTGCAGACGCGCTATCCCGTAGAGCAGACTACCTAGGTGCGCTAGTTTCCGAATTTGGCGTATCTAACGAAGTAACTCAATCATTGGTGGGAGCCTATCAGGAAGACCCTGTCACGATGGACATCATCCGCAAACTT